ACCTTCTTGCACTAGAAAGTAATTAGTTTACCTTCTTGCACTGGAGAGCAATTAGTTTATCCTCTCGCACTGGAGAATAAACCCATATAAGTGTCGGGGAATTGGCTTACCCTCTCCCATTTGAGAGCAATTAGTTTATCCTTTCGCACTGGAGAGCAAACCTATATGGGTGTCAAGGAATTGGTTTACCCTATCACACTGGAGAGCAATTAGTTTACCCTCTCGCATTGGAGAACAATTAGTTTATCCTCTTGCACTGGAGAGCAAACCCATATGGGTGTCGAGGAATTGGTTTACCCTATCGAACTGGAGAGCAATTAGTTTATCCTCTCGCACTGGAGAGTAGACCCTTTTGGGTGTCAGGGAATTGGTTTACCCTCTCGCACTGGAAAATAATTAGTTTATCCTCTCGCACTGGAGAACATGGAAGTCGTTGTCGTGAGTGCAGCTGAGGAAAGCTGGATTGCTGAAATAATCCTCAGGTTGCGAGGTCTTGTTTGGTGAACTGCTTGAGACTTCGAACTGCTTATGGAACCCACGTAAGGGTGTAAGCGCAGTGAGTTACTCTCTCAATTATTGCGTCATCATTATGTGTTTCATCTTATGCCCTTTTGAGGCTTGGTTGGCATGAGAAATTGCGCAATCGCTTGGTCAGGAGCCTTTCTACTTCTTCCTGAATTTTCCTTTGTTGGGGTGGCAGAGCTCTCGACTGCCCATGATCGTGATGTGCTGGTCTAAGCTGCTCTTCTATATGTTCGGCTCGTCTATACCGCAGCTGCAGTAGGTGTAGTATGTTCCTAGTAGGCGAACGTGTAATTCACAGGCTGCTGGTTGAACTTGAGTCGGATTGAGTGACTGTTTCTTTCCATCTGCTGTGCTGCCTGCTCTGATGTGATGTGGAGGATATGCCTTGCGGCCCTAGCCGCGAATGAATGCATTGCCTAGAAGGCTGCTAATGTTGATTATCAGAGTATGGCCCCAACCGTGAGTGTATACTTATCCTCGGGCCTAGTCGATAGTGCACGCTCCTCCGCGCTCTAAGACGGGAGTATATGCTATCTCGGGGGCCTAATCGGGAATGTACACTACCCGAACGCTTCGTGGCTGGTCGAGTGGTTGCATGTCGGAACGCTGCTGGAAAGGTTCGTCTGCCCTTGTTCTACTTCAGGATACCTTGTCCGGGGCATGTTGGATCTCGGTGAGTTGCAAAAGTTGATTCACCAAGGTCATTTGTTATGCAAGGGTGCTCGTCAACTCTATGACTTGTCGAGACAAGTGTTGTTCGCCATTTAGATTGGAATAGCTTGGAAGGAATGAGCCTCCTTGAGCAGTGAAAGTATGGTTGACTCTAGGCATGAGATTTGAGTTTGGAAATGTCAAATCCGTGGAGAAATATGGTAAAAATACCCCCGGCTGGATGGTTGCTCTGGATGGTCGAGATATTCTCGAGCTGACTTGGGTTGCTTGGGAAATCATGGGAACAGGCAAGGCTGCGGGATCAGGCTAGGCCACGAGAATGGGCTGCTCAGAGGAAGCAGGCTGTGCCACGAGAACAGGCTGCTCGGCGGGAACAGGCTGCTCGGCGGGTGCAGGCTGGGCCACAAGAGTGGGCTGCTCTGCGTGTGGCGTATGCGAGGTTAGGGCTTAGCTTGGCAACGCGTTGGGCTTGAAGTGACATGGCTTGAGATTGCTTTGATAGCACAGCCTAGGCCGTGGTAATGGTGCCATGGACCTCGCCGCAAGTGGCTACCGAGGTAGCCATCACGGTAGTTCTTGTGGTGGTGGTGCCGTTCCACTTATTGTCACATTTAGCCTCGTGGATTGTCATGGTCCCATCTCTTGAATGTTGAAATTTTCATTTGTTGAATTTTCTAAATTTCTAACCATTGTACTTCTCTTTTACGTTTTATCAAAGAATTTTTGCAAATTAAAAATTATAATAATAAGAACGTACAAAAAATCTACAAATGGACAAGAAAATAGAAAACCTTGGATGCTAGAGTCTTCTACGAGTGTGGGACTCAGCTCTCAATGAAAGCACCAATTTGTGGATGCAAATTCCGCCTTTTTCTTCTTGGACAAAATTGCACCTACAAAACAATTAACACCTTAGGTCCAGGCCAAGAGCCTCACGCGCCCACGATGAATGGGGGGCTTTGGCCGAAGAACCTCCAATGCCAAAGTTAGAATTTAGAGAGAAAAGTATTTGGAGAGTTTTGCAAGAGTGTGGAACTCTCTTTTTAAAAAAAAAAATTTGGGTCATATATATAGGGAATGGAGGTGGCCGGCCTTTAGAGGTTTTTTTGTGTGAAAATGGGTGATTTAATTGGTGATTAATGGATTAATTAGGAATTAATCTCCATTTATATGGAATAATTTGTAGGTTATGAAGTAATTACCTAAGATGAGGATGAGATAATTTGGAATTGGTTACCTTTTTTGGACACTCTTGGCTTGTTTGAAGAATGATTGTCCACTGCTCGTGTGTAGGACAACCGGTGTGTCTCAGGGGTAACTTTGTCCTTTTTACCAAAAATCCATGTGTTGCCTTGTGATTATTTTTGGCTCCACAAGTTCGGCCCCTTAATTCGAGTGAATGGGGATTAACCACACTAGATCTTGTGAATATAAATGAAATTTATCATGTTATTACTTATAATCCAAGTATGGAATTATGTAGAGTTCTTTAATTAAATTCATGAATTGATATGTGATCTTGTTGATTGATTAACGTAGTTAAATGTTAATATCGTGCATCTGTGATTCATGGAATGGATTAATTGGAGATTGTGGAATGATGTTGGATATGATTGTTATTATTACGATCATATTAGTTGGCCATTGTGACTAGAGAATAATATTGTGCTTTGTTGATTCTTTAATATGTTACATGCTATGAATTACGATTTTATGTGGGAAACATGATGATTTATGTGATGGATGAAGTGGAAATGTTGATTGTCATGTGGGATTCTTATGTAGCCTTGAACCTAGTAATTTTATGCTTGTCAAGTTTTAATAATTTATTGATGAGTGCAATGATTTTTTACTTAAAAGTACTTTGATAAAAGTCGAGTGTAGTGTTTAATGAATTACGAATGGCTTGATCCTTATTGAGGGTACGTAGGCTGTCTAACGAGGAGATTAGATGCAGCCATAAAACATACAAAAAATTACTAAGAATTTGGGACCTGAGTTGTACTTTGTTCATAGATGTAGGCTAGGTACGATAGATATACGGGTCTTTGGTGTCGTCACGTGTCGATCCTAGACGTATGTCGAGATCGGGGTGTGACAGATTTGAAGGTGCAAGTCTGGTTGCTGGGTAATTAATATACATATGTCTTAGCATTGGATCATTGATATATGTTATCTACTGCACAGAGTATACATGTAAAGTTGCAAACCATTTAAGGGACCATAATTTTCTAGGGCCGGAGTATGCTTATCCGAATACAGTTACCTTAAAAGTCTGGTCATGGACTCACCAGCTTTAAGCAGGGCTGTATCAGACGAAGTAGTGGTACTACCATCAACCTGTTTTGGGGCTATATGTGAAATCCAAGCGAATCCACTTGATGACCATGCTTGTTCCACAAGACATGCGATCTGATCCAAATATGGACACAATTAGATCCTTATAAGTCTTAGAGTTCATACAATCTAGGAATTGCCGTACGTCGTAAGTAATCACAACTCCTAAGAAAATGCAATATCTACTTCTAGATATCCTTTAGGATTTTACCGGCTTAGAATGAGGATTCTATCCTAAAAAGGTCTCTCTCCCCAAGGCATAAATACACCCATCTAGGGTTCGTCTCTGGTAACGCAATCTTTATACTTGAATTCTCTTGCCTGTTGCTTGAGTCTAAAATAGTTCACTAACTTGACCGTCAAAAAGCCTTTGTCTGACCCCCTCCCCCGTCCTAGGCTTGCTCAATGTTGTTTATTATTTTACAAGTTTCTCGTGTTTGTGCACTCCTGTGCATATGGTGGTGCACGAATTTGGTTCAAACGCCTAATAATTCATTCATTTCTTCTTCCCAAGCCTTAATTTTTGCGTGGCAATTGGTACCTAGCTAGCTAATAATTAAGGTTGCTTTGTGAGGACTTTTACTAGTTTTTAATGAGGGATTAGTTTCACTTTAAATATGGATTATGGCATTTTCTAGCGGTTTGATTAGCTACTAGTTATGTTTAAGTTGTACCCTTTAAAAGCACTCTTTATGATGTCCAAAAACTTGATAGTTTTTCTTAAAAACCGAACCGATACTGTTTGAAATTGCTCTGAACCAAACCGTGCCCACCTCTAGATTTTTGTATAATTCTACGCAAGATATTTGTCATTCCATAAGTTTAACACAACATAAATCACATAAATTTCTATGCAAATATGGGCCTATTATCCTCCATCCCTCTTTCACTTAAACTACCTCAATTAATTGATATGAATTTATAATATTTTAGGCTTCCTTTATATGCAAGTTTATAACATTTATAGTAAACTATTTAATTAATACGCACTACCCAGCCCACTCTTGTGTTTTTTTTTTCTTTTTGTAACCCTATTTAAGGTTATGACCATTTGATCCAGCCCTCGTTAATTATAAGGAAAAATTAACTTAATTACCTAAGGATATATAGAATCTTCTACATCACTCATCAACCTGATTAGTGTTTTCAGTTACAAGCAAAATTAGATCTAATTTGAATTACACTGAAGAGAGGAGGGTTCGAACTCAAATTCTTTAATACGAAGGCTCTAACTGGAACAATTAATCACATGCAAGTGATTAGTTATTGTAGAAATACTTGCTCCACCGCTCCAAAATATGACAGTTTTTCTTCTAGTAGTGGCTCTGCCAGTATTACGCATGAGGTTTGGTAACCGATAGGCCACATGCATGCATGAAATTCATCACGAATTTCCCTTGTTTGAGCTTTTATTCCTTAATTACTACTTCTGAATTCAAGAATGAAACTCGAGTAGGAACATTGCATTCATTTATACACATCATATATATACTTTGTTTTCATGCATAATCGTATTTCACAGTATAACAGTTAAAAAGTATTACGTAAATATAGGTTTCCTGAAACCTGAAACTGCAAGTTTCTTCCTTCAAGGCCAGACTGATGGGGGGAAGCTTTAGCTAGTCATCATTACCATCACTACCAGCACCACCGCCACCATCACCACATCATCACCACCATTGTCATCATCATCGATTCATCATCATATTTGTCATTATCATCATCATCATCAAGCCTCTTATAGATATGATGGGAAAGAAGACAATGTATTAGCTGATCTCAAATTAGATGAAGATGGTCCTTCAACACTGTCCCAAAAATGAAAGTTATTTGATGAACACTGTTGAGCCTGGCGGGAATGTACCAATGCATTCAGCTCCTGTGTAGTACTTTGCAAGCACTCCATTGAAATCTCTTCTTCATCATCAATATTGCTACATGACCCCACTTCAACAGGAACCATGTTATTGTTTCCAATGCTTGACCCTAGGAGGGATGGTAGAAACTGTGCATCCATATTATTGTTTGTAAATGGTGCTGTAGAAGAAGGAAAGGCTTGAACTTGATGCTGTTGCTGCTGATCCAAAATCCATGTTCCGTTGTTGTTCGAATTATTCGACCTGGCAAGTGGAAAATGCTGATCGGCTGATCGTACATTAGTGTTGTTGTTGGTAGTCTCATCAAGTGAAACAGTGTCAAACATGAATAGAGGGTATGGAGAAGGGTATAGGATTTGATCCCTAGCTGCTGTAGGTTTTGTAATAAAATTTTGGTTCATAAAAACTTGTTGGTTTGGATAACTGCAACCCATTTGATAATTGTGCTGATGATCAAGATTTGAAGGAGATGTGGTTGGTGGTGAAGAAGGCTTTTCTAGCTTCTTTTTAATCCATGAATTCCAGTAGTTCTTTATCTCATTGTCGGTTCTTCCGGGTAGGCATTTTGCTATATGCGTCCATCTACAATTTATTAATTCATGTTAGAGTTATAAGAGGTTCCGACGATCACATCCCCAATTAAAGAATCATGCAAGGTACTAAAGATCAAAGGAAAACAAATTTCAAAAATTTCATCTGCTAACAATGTTTGTGACACTAGAATTGTAAGATATTAAGATCGAAGGAAAACTAGACTCACCAAAATAATAAGGTGCATGAATGACAGTGCTAGCTTAAAGAAGTAAGTTTAACCTTTTCAGAAAAAGAAACTAACTTTAACAACTAAATTCGGATTAATCCAGTTACTGGCAATAGCTAACTAACCTTTTAATCTAAATTTTTTGAATCCGTAACCTAGCATACTCTTAATCATCTACCTTACCACTAGGTTAACCACAGTGGCTTAAATCAACCCAATATTTAATTATGAGGTGAAACCTCATATATATAGTTTCAATTTACTCTTCTGGTAACTCATAATAACACGTTGAGAAATTAAATGATTTTGAGGCTAGGAATTAGTCATATTGGTAGTTCGGGAGAATGCAAAAACCCTAAAGTAAGAATAATTAGAATGCAAATTAATGTAGGATCACTCGAATTTGCACCTGTTTCCTACAACCCCATGAAGTCTAATAATCAATTTCTCCTCCTCTGGTGTAAACCCTCCTCTTTTGATATCAGGTCTCAAGTAATTGAGCCATCTCAAGCGGCAGCTCTTACCGCACCTTTGAAGCCCTAAAAACCACACGCATACATATAAACGTCAAAACCCTAATCACAAAATTAATTCATGCAAAGTTTTGTACGTATAAATGAGAGAGAGAGAGAGAGAGAGAGAGAGAGAGATCAGGACCAGCTTGCTCAGGAACTTTTCTCCAACAGCCATGACCATATGTGGTGATGTGTCTAACGAGCTTTTCATCTTCCTCAGGGGACCAAAGCCCTCTCTTAACCTTTCTTTGTTTGCAGCAATAGTGGTGACCCATTTGTTAAATATATGCTCCTCTACTTTTTATGGTTGCCTGATCAATCCAGAGTCTGCATGGGAATTGAAATTCAGATGGCTCTTGCAATCGTTGGGTCCCTCTCTCACAGCCCTTTTAAAAGTAAGAGAAAGTACAAATGGGCCATCTTCTCCAATAAGATAGGACCCATGTTAAAACATCGGAGCTCCATCTAACCCTATATTGACACCCCATCCACTTTGATAAATTTGATCTTAATTTGTATTTGTTTGTAACATCTTGTTTTTGGTTTTTTTTTTCTATTACGTTTCATCTTTTCGTTGTCCTACGCTAACGTGGAAGCGTGAAATTGGCTTTATTTTGGAATACTTCGAAATTAATTTCTGAGCCTTATTTGTGTAACAAATTATACAATTTCCAATATAGATCTTGATTACTCTCTCCTTTTCTTGTGTTAATTTATTTTATTAAATGGTTGAGAGTCAAACTACTTGTACTTTTCCTTCCTCATACATCTGTTTAGAGATCATAATGAAAATGATTAGCATCGTTGGGCAACTCCGCAATGTGATCCAATATATATAAATTGTTTTACCATCATTATGCTAATTTGAATACCTATCACAATTATTATTTATTATTATGCAGGGAGGGGTGAGTTTGAAACTACTACCGGGAAGCATATGGATGGAAAACCTAAAACTCTATCCACTAGAATATTGAACCACTATATATTTGATTATATAAAGATTATATTAAGATTACTCACTCTATATTTTAGATGAGGAACTTTCAAAGTTGTAAGGACGTAAGACTCAATGGTTAAAATGCAGTAAATGAGCAGTATCAATGAACCACTCAAAGCACTACAAAAGCTACAACAAATGTTCTACTTTCACATATATTGATCTAGTCTTTTTCAAGTCCTCTCAAGTCCTCTATCTAAATTTTATAGTGTGCAGTGCTACTAAGAAATTTGACCAAAGTTTTATGAACTTCCAAACGCGTCAAGTAAATTGGGTTGATTCTTTGCAAGGGTGATGGTTGAATAGAAACCTATTATACATGAGTCTTTTTCTTTTGGTCAGGGAATTATATATGGAGAGTTTGAACTTTCGAATGGTGATGAGGGTTGGCCCCAAATGAAGCCCCCTCAATAAATTATTACGTCAATCATAAATGTAAAGTTAACAATTTACTTGACGAGTTTTAACCGTTTGAATGTATAAAGCATGTAACTTAGATATGTTGTAATATTTTATATCAATTCTCCCGATCTCTCCCACAGAAAACTTCTCATTTTCCTCATTAATACATAACGTTGGAAATTCATCGAAGCTTTCCCTTATACTTAATGCAAACAAAATTTGTTTTGAACGGGAGAAAGCTTTGTGATGCACAAAGTTAATTTGTTTCCAAATAATAAGGGTTGAGATTGTTTGTTTGAGGTCCTATTTGAAAACAAAAATGGGATAATTTAGTTGCAGTCCCTGGTCCCTAATTGTTATAGACTCAAACCTTGTGCATTTTAGATTTTTTATTGAAGTCCCTCTCCTGCTATATAAATGACATAATAATAAAAGAGATGCAATAATACCAATAAAGACTCAACTGTTTTTTTTTTTTTTTTTTGCTTTCATTTACACTACCAATTTAATTATTCAAAATTGCTTATGGGTTTTGATAATAATAATAATAATAATAATAATAATTGCATATGGGTGCATTATAGATTATAAAAAAAATGGCATTTTTTTTAAAATTTTTTTATTTTTATAAAATGAGTACATTTATATAATAAAATTTGGCTACATTATATATATATATATATATATTTGTTACATTTATATAAAAACGTGGATACATTTTATATAGAAAACAATGGGTACATTTTATATTAAAAAAACAATGATAAATTTTAGATTAAAAAATAAATAGATTTTACATTAAAAAATGGGTCCATTTTACATAAAAAATGGTACTTACAAAAAAAAAATAGGGATACATTTTACATATAACAAATTGGTACATTTGTAAAAAAAAAAAAAAAAAATGGGTACAAATAAAAGGTTAAAAAGATTATGAGTACAAATAAATGTTTAAAAAATAAGGGACAAAAAGAAATTAATATATGGGTACAAATTAAAATTTAAAAGAAAATTGGTACAATTTAAAAAATGATTGCAAATTAAAAATGGGTACAAACTAGAAATAGAAATGTATGATAAAGAGTTTAGCCATAAATATAATATATCAAATGTAACGTTTCTAACACTAAATGAATATATTTAAAAATAAAACCTAATTATCTTGACATGTAAATATTTTGTTTTTGAATAATTAATGGTATTTATTAAACCGAATGATCTTGATCAAAATTTGAAAAGGAATAAGATTTTAATCAATGGAGTAGAAAAAATAGGGATGTAAACCTAATTTCTCCAAAAAAAAAATGATAGAATTATCTGTTGATACTTTGGAATGAATTGTGTCACATTCTTTTGTGCGCACTAGAAAATTTTATAATTTTAACAGAGTAATTAGTTGTATGCATATCACATAAAACTGCCTATCACATAAAAATGTCTTTTACATATGTCTTTATGTGCCAAAAGACACGTTTACTTCACCAGATGAATACATTAATTTTTTTTTGTATAAATATCATATTGGTAACGTGGTATTACCAATCTACTCATGTCATAATAGATTAATTAATTTATTAATATTGTATATAGAGCATAAAATATCAATCATGTTATTTCATCCACTCATATTATAATATGTAAATTAGTAACATCTCGTATTGATGTAATCACGACACTTAAAAATTTCTCATGAAATATGTGAATTCCATGTCCTACACTGTAATATTCTACCCATACCCGTAACTTTTTAACCTCGCTCTGCTATCAATTCCTAGTAGAAAACAAAGTTTCTAGTTGGTTGCAGCATCTAATATATATATACATCATTTGCATTAGCATAGGCATATAACAGAGCTCTCAAACACTAAAACCTTTAAAAGATGATTCAGCTAGCTTGTACGTGCAAAACCCCAGCTCTGTTTCTGATTACTAGCCTTCGCTCATGCGTGTGCAGAAGACATTTTTTGAATCACAACGTATTACACGTGACTTACATGTTTTAAATGTATTTATATGCGTGAATTGCTTCAATAATTTTTTTTTTATGACAAAAAGAAAGTCAAATATTTGAAGTAAATGAATAATATTAGACCAAACTAGAAGAAACCCTTCATAAACCAATTAAAACAGTTGAATCCACATAATAAAATCAATCTTTCAATTTCCATCTACATTTTATTGAATTTACCTTAAGAATAGAGAAAGTAATATTTAATAAACATTGAATCACATTATTGATAGTCTATTGTGAGGCTAAGCCTACCCCCTCTCCCGTAGTGTAGATAACATCGTTTGTTAAAAAAAATGATCATTTGACATCTAATTGAGTCATATTATTATGTGCGTGCGAAAAACCCTTTTTATAACTGGTACTACGCACCTTTGAAGTGTTTAAAAACAAAGAAAATAATATTTAATAAACAACTGATTAAATCACATTATTGTGCGCATGCAAAAGGTTTTTTTTTATCACCGGCGGTACGCGTCTCTTAAGATGTTTTGAACGTGTTTAAAAATAGAGAAAATAATATTTAATAAACAATCGATTGAATCACATTATTGCTAATCTATTGTGAGGCTAAGCCCACCTCCTTCCCTTAGTGTAGATAATATCGTTTGTTCCAAAAAAAAAAAAACAATCATTTGACAACTAATTGAATCACACTATTATGTGCATGTGAAAAGCTTTTTTTATAATGGGTACTACGCGTCTCTTAAGATATTTTCAAAGTGTTTAAAAATAGAGAAAATAATATTTAATAAATAACTGATTGAATCACATTATTGTTAGCCAAATGTGAGGCTAAGCACCCTAGTGTAAATAATAACGTTTGTTAAAAAAAAAAATCATTTGACAACTAATTGAATCACATTATTATGCGCATGTGAAAGACCTTTTTTATAACCGACACTACACGCCTCTTAAGATGTTTTGAACGTATTTAAAAATAAAGAAAATAATATTTAATATACAACTAATTAAATAACATTATTACTAGCTTATTGTGAGATACTAATTATTAAAAAATATATATATACAAAAAGAATTAATCATTAAAAAACACTGTTTATATAACGAAAATACCCTGGCATTATTTTGAACTGCCTTTGAATTTTTTTGTTTTGAGAACATTTTTATCCAAAAATTTTTAGCGACCCCTAAAAATGGGTCAGCAGGCTTTATATATAAAGATTATGCCGACTAATTAGTGTTTGCGTGGTTTTAAGATATTGTCAAATTCTTTCAATTATATTATTAAATTAGTGTTTGCGTGGTTCTAAGATATTGGTCAAATTCTTTCAATTATATTATTAAATTAGTGTTTGCGTGGTTCTGAGATATTGGTCAAATTCTTTCAATTATATATATTTTTTAATAATTATTCAAACTTTTCACTAAAACCTCTGACTGTCACATCATATAATGACTTTCCACTAAAACACTTAAGGCTGGTTTGGTATTGCTGTGCTTTGAAAAAAAAACTGCCTTTACTGTGCTGTGAGAATAAGCAGCTGTGAAATAAAGCAGCATAGTGTTTGGTAAACTTTTGTAAAACAAATGTGAAAAAAAACCGATTTTTTCAAAGCTGGGTTTTGCAGCTTCTTGTTTTTGGCTTTTTTTTCACCCCAAACTGTGAAAAAAAAGCTGAAGCTAAATGTTTACCAAACACAAAAAAGCTCCCAGCTTTTTTTGATCCCAGCTTTTTTCAGAATCACCTCAGTACCAAACCAGGGCTTAGACTATCGCATCATATAACTAGTGAATTCATGGGGTTTTAACTAGTGAATTATTAGTAAGTATATTGTTGATGAATCAATAATTAATTTTGTGAAATTTTTTGTTATATGTTAGAATTAATTATTTGCATATATGTGTAACAGTGT